TAAAAACAACTACAAATAAAATAAATAAGGATTTTTTTTCATCACCAAAACCATTTCAACCAAACGCACGTTACGGCCACAGCAGTCATGGTGCACATTTGGATCTTCCTACTCCTGCAACAGTCCATCAGACCTCCCCGACTCAACCAACGCTGGACTCCACAACGATGCTCAGATCCCGTTCGACTCTCTTCACGGCTTCCCGACGACAAACCACGCTTTCAAAGGAGTAAAAAGAGAAAATTAAACCACGAGTGGGGCGAAGGGAAATCTCAAATTTCTAACCACCCCTGGTTCTAAACCAAAATACCTTTCACGAATACGGATAGGCACACAGTTTCTAAGAGATCTGGTCTTCAGATAAAGGCTATATAAGCTAAAGGAACAATATTTTGTGTATGGTATTTTAATTCTTTTTTTTACTCGCTACAGTAAACCTATATTTTGTGTATGGATTTGAAGAATATTTAGCATTTTTGCTATTAATACATTTTTGTGAATTATTAAGCAAGTAAGCTGTTCAACATATCAAAAATCAATATGAAGCCCAATGTATTATTCGATTCACCACTGTCACAAGTTATAGTTAAAGCACAATTAAGAACAACACATGTAATATAAAGTTCACCACCACAAGGATCTTAGTCTTGTTTTCTGACTTTCCATCATTCATGAATTACTGCTGGTGCAGATAGCCTTGGAGTAACTTTGCGAGAAATTCAACAAACAAATAAAAACTTTGCAAAGTGCCACACAGTACAGTGTGCTGAAGGTAAAATCACGTGGCCTCAAAGTTTAATTCAAGTTTGAATTATGTATTTCTATGAATAAACGTCTTCTGTACATTTTACAATAGTAATTGGGCGATTGCGAATAAGTGTGTTTATCATTCTTTTAGTAGTTCAGACTGAAGATAAGTATTGAATTATCTAAATATGACTTTCACTATATTTTTACAAGTTTTAAAAATTTATGGCTAGGAGGTGGGCTCGAGCCCCTCCCTCCTCTTCGTTATGCGCATGGCAACAAGTCATAAATAAAATTTGTCTTTAATAATGGACTTATTAGCTATTCAGATGCACAATACAAGTAAGTAAAAACGAAATATTTCTGGTGTGCGTAAAATAAATTTTTGGTTATCAATATAATTAACCATGCAGAAGAAGTATTAACCAACCAATAAAAAAAAGCATGGTCTCCCTTCAACAATGATTTGAAATCTTTCATGACAAGGGCCAGCCCCACTTACTGCTTTACCCAATAAACGAAAAAGGAATGTTGACGTTACTGATAATCTTAAAAAAGGGGCGTGCAAATAAATTAAGAGGCTAGGTTGTATATCGTGAAGTTAAAGAAAAACTGAAGAAGTTAATGTTCTGAAATTGAGCATACCCATAAATAATATGCCTTAGTATCTAGATCTTCAAAAATAAAAATAAATGTATTTTCAGTTTTATATTATAAATATATTCTACATGAGTAGTAAGTTCAAGTACTGTCCTGGGCGTCAAGTGTGTAAATACAATTTTCACTTCAGTAAAAAGAAAGAGAACGAGCTTAATTTCAATATGGGGCGTAGCATTGAGATTTTAATTTCTTTTTTAACTTTTATAGCAAAAGCAAAAAAATAAAAACAAAAATGTTTACGTGTAATTAATTTGTCAATTATGCCTTGTGGATAGAGAGGAATGCCATCTGGGGATTTACTAATGGTAACTTTTTTTCACAGATTGGATTGTCTGACCAATCACAATCTGGATAAGTAATAATAATAATATTTATTCCGATACTCTTAGCTGTACACTGAAAAAGAAAATGAATGACAAAATTCTGTAAATACGAACTAAACACAGACTGCATATTACGTATTAAAATATTAAATATTCTCTCTCTTTTATTTTGATACGATGCACTTAATTTTGCAACGCCTCTCTTGATCGAAACTGTGATTGTAAATATTGAGAGCCTGTCTCAAATTACGTTCCACTATTCACTATTGGTTAGAACAGCGTTTCTCAATTGTATGAATGGTTCACCCAGGGTGGAATCAGAATTAGGGCGAATGAGAATGATTGGGTGAATGGCAGCGCGAAGGAGTGTTATCAATTTTACAACAAATTCAAGAGCAAACAAACAATTATTTATTCTTGTTGTAGTTTAATAAATACATTTTTTTCATCTTGTATTCATTCAAGTTTTAGCTTGATGTATATTTAAGTCATAATAAAGAATTTTGCATTTTAACTCTACTTTTTTTTTGTTTTTTTTGGAACTAGGGTGAGTGAGTTGTGAAACTTATAGGGGTGACTGATATTGGAAAATGTTGAGAAGCACTGTGTTAGAAAGGTACTTGCGAAGTGTGATAATTTAGTTATGCGTTTCAAAATGTCAGGCAATAGAACATAAGGCAAAGACTATCCGTTAAACTGGCGAAAGCTCGGAAAACTACAGCCAAGAAAAACGATGACGTACATAATATGCAGCATAATTATATTTTTATTATACTACAGTAATTTTAGTTACCTTATTTTTTCTGAAAGTTTTTGGTTTGATATAGTTAGGCCTATATCATGCAAAATGTGCATAATTATTATTGGCCGTACGTGATAGACTAACTAACAGTTTATGAACAAGAACTTTATGAAATATAAAAATAAACATGAATTTATGTATATGCCAAGTTGAATAACACAATTGTATATTTACTAAGATTGACAAATCTTGGAATGAAAGTAACAAAATAATCTGATTTAAACAAATTTGAAGTATATATGGAACTGATCTTGGAAAGTATTAGGATATTTGCTAAAAAAATTTTACTTGCTATTGTAGCAAAATAGAAGTTTTTTATTTCATTTTCATATTGAACAGTATTTTGTATATTGGGTAAACGAAGTAGTAAATAACATTGTTATTTATGAGAGATTTTGGTTTGTTAGTTATTGTCTTAGTTACACTTATCGAGTTAGGCCTATACTGTATACATTTGTGTTCTCAAACTTGTTAAAAAGGATTGAATTAACGTTAGTACTAATAAATAGGGCTAACTTTAGCTCTAGCGTATTGAAATGTTTTGTATAAATGATTAATTTAGCAACATGTCTGAGAAAAACAATCATATTCATTCCATATTTAATATTACTATTTGTAATCGTTGGGGCTTGGCCCTGATAGTGATACTGTTTAATAAAATATCCCCCAAGGTTACATTTGTGGGTGCCAATACTCCTTGTGGTGAACAAATAACAGGGTCCCCTAACCTATATGCATCCACCTATTATATACATTGATACTGGTTGTGAAGGCCGATGCTCAAAAACAATATTTTTGCTAATCCAAAGTTTAAAAAGTTCCATGTCGTAATAATATGCGGACCTACATACCCACCCTTGACTTGAAAGAAAGTCAAAACGTCAACGTAATTTTTATTTTTCAGGAAATTATGAATTTTTTGTTTTATTTTAAACTCTAAATTTCCAGTTTTCACTATTGCCAATGACAATTCATTCCATAAGCTAATCACCCTATTAGAAAAATAAAGTTGTCTAAACTGAAACCTTCGTGTTTTTTCTAAATCTTAAAAGTTTTGTCCTCGCCCTGTTGTTTTCAAAAGAAATCAAAGACTTTGATCTTATTGATCCATCAGATAATGTTGATCACCTCTTACTTTTCTTTTCTCAAGAGAAATTTAAGTGACAGATTTTAACATATCCCAATAAAATGATTCTCTGTCCTTGATGTCATCCTAATAACCATCCACTAACTTTTTTAATAAGTCAAAATATAGAGGCATGAAACCATAACTGTTAACAGTATGTTAAGTGAGGCCTAACTCGTGAAGAGATAATTTCCTCTTTTGACTTGTAATTGGATGTCTACAAATGTAACCTAAATTCTGCTACTTTGCTAGTAATATCAACAAAGCACTGTCTCGATGGCTTATACACCCATCACTAGCTACGTGAGGACCATTTTCTTTGGTCGTGTTATTGATTGGGTTCCTATCTATGTTAAATATGTGATCCAAATTATGATAACCCAAATTTATGGGCATGTATATCAATTTGGATTTATCTTAAGAACAAACAGTTTATTAAGCCTTTGTATAAAAGTATATATTTTGCTCAAAAGAAACATGTTTATTAATATGTTGAAAGCAGCTGGCCTTCAGGTAAGGCAAGAAAGACAGCTGCCTAGGGCCACCCACTGTGTGGACCTGTGATATTTAAATATGAAGCCGTAAAACTTACAAATCATATGGTTGACTCATTAACAAACATATCACATTGTTCTGTTTTATAATTTCAATCACATTTTTAATGGCTGAACAGTATGAGGGGCCCTACACTTTGTATTTTGCCTAGGGTCTGGGGTATCTAAAAAATAACTGGGGATAATGGAAGGACTGGATTGATACATTGGGGCCTATGTGAATCTAGAGGGGGACCTTTGAACCTCACAGCAGAGTTCAGGTATTTTACACTAGTTTTGGTAAAGAATGATACTATTCATATTTAGTTTTCATGCAAAGTGACACTAGGGCTACCTGCATATAGCCATCACTATTTTTGAACTGAGAAACTGGAGGGAAGACAGCTAGTAAGTTCAAGCATTTGAATCAACTTATTTCAGGTTATTCCACGCCGAGTGAAAAGATCCTCACAATAGTCCAAGGTTCTTATGCTAAGTATCATTCTACTGAGCAGCTTGTACACTAAAACCAGCATATTCAGAGCCACACCTCAGCCTCTACAAAGGAGCTTCTGTACCCAAAAACAAACCCCATTAAGACTAGCCCATGGTATTATTTGATAGATTGTTTAGGCAGAGTATTCATGATGAAACTGTTGAATGGACGGCAACTGTTTGTTGTAGAGACACAAGTGTAAAGGACGATGTTTCGAAAGTCTTCTGTTTCATAGCCCATGGTAACTGAGCATGCATGCCACATTTGATCCCACTAGCTTGTCACTGAGAGTATGGAGACAGTTTCACCCAGAAGATCCTAAATGGGGCCAAGAACACAAAATCTAGTGATTTGGGTTCATCAACCCCTAGAAACTTGGTTAATTTCTGGGCACATTTTAGCTCCCCTTGGTAGGCGGGCTACACCATATAGATATGAACACCACTTGGCAATCCTGAGTCCTCCTGCCACGTTTAGTCTTGCTAGTTTCAAACTGTGGGAGGAGAAGTTTTTAGACAAACAAATTCGTAAACACACAGCATGAATTAATATAGAGTTGGTATTTTGAACAGTTTTGTTTTCTGTAGATGGTTTTTTTTTTGAGTTTGAAGTGGAAATACAAACTTGAATATTTTGTTTTGACAAAATTATTTTTTTAGTTAGATCAGTAAGAAAATATTTACCTGACAATATGTTATGTGCTGTATCAATTATTTACATTTTGTTTGGGAGGGGGGGAGATGACAGTATTTGCTCAAGATGTTTTAAATTTTTTCTTTGTACTATGAAAAAACCCAAATTTTCTTTATATAAGCAAGTTCAATCTTAAAAAGCTAATATCAAAATAGAAGTAATTTTAAATTAGCTCTTCAGGGATGAAACAGCATAATATTTTGGTTATATCTATAACTAAACCAAGCATTCTTTGATAGATAATTTAGGCAGAGTATTCATATTGAGTTGACCGTCAAGTGGGCCGCAGCTGACCATTAAAGAAACACTTTTGGAAATTTATTGGTGGTCATACAATCTACTTGTTACTTATACAGCTCAAGTGTAAACGAAAATGTTACGAAAGACAGAAGACTTCAAAATACTACATATTTAACTTATTATCTATCAAACATGCCATTCTAAATTCTTAACTCCATTTCTTCTTTACAAATGTAGTGGGGTTGACCATCACATTATAATACCCTCACAGCTGAAAGGATGACAATAACTAGTACAATGAGTTTCATTGAAAGACTAGATAAATAACAATAGAATTCATAATAAACATTTAACTTTCATTAGAGGCCAACTAGGGGAACTTATCGAACATCAGCAAGATATCATATAGTAAGCATGTCATTCCCATTTCATGCCAGTGGTGATATTAAACACTGTAAATTAATTTTTTGCTGACAAATCAGACGTCGGGTAGGAATGTAGTTTGTATTGGTGACAAGTAGTTTTGGTCACTTGTATTTTTATTTTTGTTTCTTATACAGGAATTAACAAGCTAGAACGATTTTAAATAATGCATGGAATTCCTTTATGTATAGCTTTTCGGTGGTGACTCATTTGAAACTGATGAAGAAATATTGAGACAGGTTCTAACCAATCAAAAAGATTCATCATTTTGCAGAGATTTAGCTTTGCCACATAGGGAAAAAATATTCCAAAAGATTGAAGCATAAAGGGGAAAATATGTGACAGATTTAAAATAAAGATGGAATAAAACCCAAGAAAGTGCACACATTTAAAGTTCCAGGTTGTAAGTGGTAAATTCATGTATGTTTGTAAACATAACTGTCATCTTTATCCTTCACACTGGCAGTTAATTATGAAATATATTAACTGCAAACTTTTACAAATAAAGATGCTGTAAATACATATGTTGATGTATAATCTATAGTGATATATTTATAGTTGTAACCCATAGAAATCACTTTTTGATGAACATTTTGTCATATGATTGTCTATTCATACTGAATGAAATTTGGTGTTTCAAAGTTTGTATTTCTTAGTTTGTCTAAAGATACTAACAATTGTAATCAGTCACAATCACTTTAATAGTATGTATAAATTATTGTGTAGTAATAAGCACTACTTTTTAATTGTTGGTGTTCAGTGGTTAGTAAGAGTAATGCTAGTAAGGCATAACATATTGAGTTAATTCATCATTTTGTTAACATGGTTAAAAATTATATCTTAAGAACTTTTAACTAGTAGTTAATGAAAAGATGTTTCGTGGAAAAGCGTGGACAGGATTGGCCATTATATATTTGACAAAAATTGAAGATACAACTAGAAAGATTCAAGAAATTTAATGGTCAAAATATGTTTTACTTTTTGTATTATCTTTTGTAGAAATGTTAGATAAACATAAGATAGTACTGAACGTACAGAAATATTTATATATCTATCTAAGTATATGACACGTAATAACTAATATTTGTATTTTCATAAATTAATTATAAATTATTGGAAAAGATTAGAGAGTATCGAGAACAGTTACAAAAAATACAAGTATTAATTAATGTTCCTTAAATCACTATTGTAAAAAAGTATAAATGAAATATATTGTGATAGAAGAGTTTCGTATCGTTTCTTTCGTCATTGCAAAATGAAATATCACAATTCTTCAGTAACAAAGGTGTGAATAAGCAATTAGTTAATTAATTCTTGATAATAATAACCTCCAAGTAAGGGATTATTTGAAACTATTTTCATATGTAGCAATGTACATTAAGTAATTTTACTTAATTTTATGCATAACAGCTTATAAACAAATCTTTTCAATGTCATGCATTTATCATATGTGGTGAATAGATGAATAGGAATGTGTTTACCGAAACTAAAGATTTTAACAAATGTTTTAGCATAAATTTTCAACCATTCTTAGGTCAACTTGCAGGTAGTCATTTTTTCAATTGTTTTCTGGCATTCAGATTTATGATTCAGGAAATATTTTACACATTGACTGGAAAATGAGACTAAAGTAGGCTTAACTTAGGTTTACACGCATTACCTTGTCTGTCTGTTTGTAAATTCAAGACTTATTTATGTTTGAAATGTTTCCTAAATTCATTTAGATTATCAATATAAAACACATTCAAACAAGAATATAACATTTCTTTGTAAGCCTAATTATACCCCTGACCTTAACAATTAATGAAACACATTTGGTTTGCCATGCATGTTGTTACCTCCAAATATACACGAATCTTATGAACTGATAAAGTTCTCAATCTAATTAATATTTAGAATAGAAATTAATCAAGAGAGATTAATGGTAATTATGATCTTTACGAGATGCGCACTGAGAGGAGATGCAAGATATATCAACTAACGAGTAAAATATTTTGATCCGACACATTCAACTATTGATGCTTGTCCCTTGACATCTGCTGTCTTTAGGAGAGAGAAAAATCTATTTAAAGATTATTCACAAAGTTTAAAAATTCTTGAAGAAGTAATTTAGATTTCACAACTGAAAGTTATGATATGGAATAGTGTGAAATAGCAATTATTTAACTACAAAAATGAATATTTTTAAACCCCATTATAGTATTCTGCATAGAAGGTGAAAATGGATAGAAAAAAAAAAGTACATTAACAAGCATTTCATTAAATGATTGCTTCTACCCCCAATGGCTCAGCAGTATGTCTGCAGGTTTACGATGCTAAAATTCAAGTTTCGATGGCTGTGGCGGGTAGAGCAAAGCCCACTGATATGTAACTTTGTGCTTAACCACAACCAAACCATGAGGTGAGAAAACTGTTTATATAGTTCTAGTCAGGCCTGTTATTAATTAATTTAAAATGATCAATCTGTAATTTGCATTCCATGTTGTAGACAACAGTTAGTAGCTACCTTTTGTAAGGTGATACTAATCTACTATATTTATAGATAAAAAAAACGATGTTCAATATAAGTTGGTCTACTAATATAGTGAAATACATAGAAGCAAAAAGTTAATAAATCATTAGTACACTTTCTTTTATAGATGATTTTGACAGATTCTTCATGATTAATATAGGAAATCAAAAAAGGCAGGGACTGCATAGTTCAGAGTGACACCTGAGATGAAAGACGTAGAGGACTAATCCACAAAAGGAGCTCATGTGGAAAGGGTAACTTTTCGAAAGACTTCAGCCTTTAAGTCAGCTTGCACTGGTTTTTTCACGTGTTTATATGGTATCCTGGAGGATTAAAAGGACATAATTTGCTATTGGTTCTAGTATTGTGGTTGCTGGAACAACAGACTTGACCGATGGCAGCCACAAACTGCTGATTTCCAGGCTTCGGTCTGTTTAATGATGATTTCATTGTGTTGATGTAGAAAGATTTTTCATAGTTTCCACAATTTATCTGAATTAATGCATCTGTAACTGTCTCAGTCTATTTTATTTCCAGCTAACATAGCACATTTTGCCAGGACAAACTTCTGTTTTCATCAGTTTTGTTCATTTTTTTTATGTCCTTTTACTCTTGCCCCAAAGTGTCTTCCAGTTTCTCCAATGTAGGTTTGTTAACAGAAACATGGGATTTCAGAAATGATACTTTTGTGGTTTGTCGTACTTTAGTGCATATTATTCATGAAAATAAAAGCTAAACATATAAAACAAGTTACTGATGGGTGGAGGTAATTGAAATAAGAGTACTGCCTTGCCAAGGTCAAATATTATTATTTGTCCAAAGGAAAACTTTTTGGAATTTCATATGAAACAGAACACTGGAAAAAATGCAAGAGAGAAATTTAAAAATTAACATAACATGGAAACTATTTCCTACTCCTTCATAAATACTTTAAATCCAATGCTGAATTTCGTTGGACGAAAACACTGCTAATCTTACATCCAGACACACATCTATTATTTTTTTGCAACAACAAAATTTAATCTCTAATTAAATATCATTTTTAAAGAAATTAGATAACTCAAGTGTGTTGTCCAATTTTTTCTGTAAACTTATTAACAAGTGAGTAATATTAATGTGGCCATCACAAGTTCCCATGATAATCACAGTAAATTAAATAATAATATAAAGAAATCATGCATTTTCTTTTTTTAAGATGACTTTCTTGGTTATTTTTGATAATTGACTGATGTTCAGAAGGCTGAGAGAGTAGAGAAAATTAGCATGGCTTGCTTATTTGTGGATAACTTTGAGGAAGATTGTGTTATTAAAAGGGTGGGAAGCAGAAAACAAGGCAGGAAACTGACACAGGGTAAAGATTGTTTTGTTGAGGGTGAGAATAATAATGCTGGGTTTAAAAGGATGTAATGTGGTTAAAACGTTAAGGTTATAAAGTTTAGGTCGGTTAGAATTCAGGTAATAGTCTTCATTACATTTGAGAACCTTAGGCTGCTTATGAGAACTGAGATGCTCAACTAATGAAAACATGCATTTTAATTTTCACAAGTAGAAACGTATATTTACTAAATTAAGGAAGCACATTATGTTAATACAATAATAAGTAGGCAAACAAAGATTTATAAACAAATGGAGGAGTTTATTGATGGTGGAACATACTAGATGTTTCAACAAAACATTAGCTTGTCATTCATACCTGAAGAAGACAGACCAGTGTTCTGTTGAAACATCTAGTATGTTCCACCATCAATAAACTCTTCCTTTTGTTTATAAATCTTTGTTTGCTTATCTACTAAAAGTATATTTAATTAGCTCTACTGATGATCAGGTTCAGTTTCACCATTCTGACTGGAAGTTATTAGTGGTAACACAACATAGAAGACTAGAATTAGAATTTGCTAGCCAGATACTAAAGTGCAGGATATTATGGAGTGTTTACACTTTAGCTGCTGGTACTATTTTCTTTTTGTAGTAATTGTAGAAGCAAACAATGTTAAAAAATGTAAGGCAGAAGAACTGCTTATAAAAATATAATTAACTTTAGAGGTTTGGGATAGAAATAGATGTGTGTGGCCCTTTAAGGAGTACTATCTTCAGCTAGTTTTAGTTTTAGCTTAGTTTTATTTTTCTAATGTTAAGAACAAAATATACAAATTTAGTGCTCTATTGTTGGGTGGGTTCTTTTAGATTATTAATTAAGTAAAAATTATATTAATTTCAGTCAATAGCAAATTCATTTATTTCATTAATAATGTTTTATACAGGCCATATTTACTGGTAGGCCTAACTTCACAAATAACGTTTTAACAGAATTCCAAAACTAATGGTATGCCTAACTCACAATTAAAGTTCAAATCAATTACTTGCAAAATTCCTACTAATCGACTTTTAACAAACATGATGACTGCTCATTAACTGTCTAAATGACATACTAACTCACACTAACTAAAACTCTTTAACTGTTTCTGAACTGATTGATTCTCTTATATTGTTCAATATTTCACTAACACTGGAGATGCCACAGAGGCCTAAACTTTCATAAAATTACTAGACTTTACACAATTATTATATTATGTAAACTATTCCCATTAGTGAATAAAACATTAAAAATAAAGCTTTATAGCACTATTATGTAATTGGGAACAATGACACGTGGTTACATTTGGAGAACAATGATAATAGGAATTATTAAAAGTGATAAACTGTTTAGAACAGAGGATTAGGTTACTCTTCATATAAGGAACGAACTGCAGCCTGCGAGTATTGAAGCCGTAAAAACTAGCGGTAGTTAAGACGTTGAATTTGTGTAAGTTACAATTGGAGATTTTAATTGAATAGTAAAGAAAAGAAGTTTCCCGGTGTAATTCACAATATTTTTTCGATGTGGTATACTTTAACCTTTATTCTGTATAGTTGCAGGTTTCACATAAAACATGGTTGAGAAAATCTCATTCTAGCTGCCTTTGTTCCTTTGTCATTCTCTACAAGAAAAGATATGTTATGACTATGGATGGTTTTGCTATAATGCTGCATGTTGTGTGAGAATGTTGACAGCAGTATGCTTAAGTGTTAATTCAGGTAGTATCCCAAGATTAATTATGACCTTCTCTATGCTGGAATGAGAATGGTCAGTCATGTGAGTAGTGTTAGTCATTTTTCATAAAACCAATGCTACCTGCCAAGTAAGAAACATAAAATTTAAACAATATGATAGAATAATTCAATCTAATCAGTTGAAGATATAATATCCAGTAGAAGTGACTGTCCAATATTGAAAAACAGCAAGTACAAATACTTTGTTTGTGAATTAATAAAGTTTTTTCGTTACCTTGTATCTTGTATTTATTTATTTCTCGAAGTTATTAATTTAGAGATTTATTATTATCCCATAATAAATATCCTGATTTAATCTCCTGCTATTTTATAGACCTATCCCATCACTCTTTAAGTGAATTCAGTTTGACTCGAGTATACTACATCTAGACCAAAACAAACTGTCAGACAGCTAACAGGTGTGACTCCATTTGAGATTTGTTTTTACCCATTAATGAAAATATAGTGCGAGAACATTTCAGGAAGAATGGTCATTGCATACTTTGGTTTGATGTTTTGCTACAAACCAAGATGAAATGAAATTTTTGTTCCTAATTTTCGGAAAGCCAATTTTGAGGCCATCAGTAGTGATTTGAATTAATGAGAATGGTGATGTGAGAGAGTTTTGGAATTTGGTTAAAAATAAGTTGCTTTTAATTGAAGAAAAACATATTTCTAAAAATGGGAGCAAATGCTAAGTTTAATTTGATGTATAAAAGATTTGTAAAAAAACTGGGAATTGGTTAATTCAAAAAGGCTTAGGAGAAACAGCTTACTGAGAATGTTAAAACTATTGGCAAGGATTTTTGTTTAATATAATAAATGTAAGCAGAATGTTAAAATAGGGGTTTGAGTTGATGACAAGATTTTTGTTAAAGTCTGTGATGATAAGGCTGAATTTTTAAATCTTTTCTTCTCTATTTTTACAAAAGAAGATTTTAGCAATATTCCTAAGCATTATGTTGGAAATATTCAAATTAACCCTGAATCATATAGATATTAATCCCTTGGTGATATGTTGAAATATTCAGAGGTTAGGTATTAATACAATACCAAAGCCAGATAAGGTTTTTCACAGGGTTTTAAGGACATGAGAGCCTCTCTTTTTTTATTCCATTTTTGATAACTCAATAAAATGGACAGGTGCCCACTTCATTGGAGAGATGCTAATGTTATTCCTATTTTTTAAATAGGAGTTACGAGAGTTGTTACGAAAATTATAGGTAAATAATCTTACTTCTGTTATCGGAAAACTTAAGTGGCTGAAAATACTAGCTTTACAAAATCATTTAGTGAAGCATGATATTATTAAAGGAAAAACCAACCTTAATTCATTAATGGAAGTCTTACCTTTCTGACCAGTTAACTTTTTTTCAAGGATGTTACTCGTTATTTGGATGATGGAAAGGACATAGACTTGAGTGTACTTAGATTTTCAAAAAGCTTTTGATAAGGTGCCACATAGAAGATCAGCTAAAAGAAAATCCAATCAGTAGGAGTTTAGAAAATACTAGTTAATTGGGTTATAGGGTGATTCATATGGCAAATAAGAGAAAGAACAAAATTTTTATTAATGCAGTCTGGTCGACCAGAAACCTGATTCTTAGAGGAGTGGCCACAGGGTCAATAGCTTAGACGTTTGCCTTTTCTTATTTACATTAATGATATTGATAGGGACATAATTAATATAGTTGTTGATGATGAAATTCATAAACTTTTAGGTATTTCTAACTGTATTGAAGAAGATGAGGCTCAACAGAATGACTTCAGTTACATGGTAAGTTGGCACGTATTTGGTAAATGACCTTTAATTACAGTAAGTGCGTAGTAATACATTTGGGTATCATAACTTAGACCATATGTTTTGTTTCGATGGGAACCCACTTACTAGCATGATTGAAGAAAGGATCTTGTCACAGTAGTGAATAAGTCCATCAGTTGCTAGTAGTAAAGCCACAGTAATAGGATTTTAGGGTTTACAGATAATTATTAAAAGTCCAAAGAGATGATTATCTATACACAAATCACTATAATTAGGCCTCATTTGAATACTGTGTACAGTTTTTGTCTCCTAGTCTAAGAAGGGATACTAACTTCTTGAAAAGGGATCAGAGGAGGCCAACCATAATGATTCCATGGGTTATCTTACAGGAACTTTTAACTTATTTCCCTTGAGAAAAGAAGGGTAAGATGAGATCTAATTGAAGCTTTAACTTGTCTGGAGAATCTGATTTCGTTATGATGCATTCTGAAGATCGAACACAGGATAAGAAGATAGAAGTTTGAGATTTGAAAAAAAATACAAGCTAGACTCCAGTTTTATTTTTCTAACAAAGGAATGGGTTTCCACCAACGTTATCGGAGACTGGCATATTACAAGAATTAAGGTGGAGAATCAATCATTTTGTGAAAAATAAGAGGT